TGTTCAAATCGGAGTGAACCGTATTCTTTTATTTTCACCAAATTTCTTATAGACTTTATTTTTCGAAATCAACTTCTTTAATATCAGAAATTATACATGGGACTTTTTGTGAATACAAAATGTTTTATCAAAAATCGTCGTTTCAAGTGCTGGCGATTTTTCAGGTCAATTTTAACGCCGGTAGTCAAAGTCTTCCTCGTGGTATGGATGGACGTCGTGGTTCACGTTCACAGCTGTCATTCTCACGTAAATTCCCATTCGTTAAGAGTACCGACAAGCTTAACGAATTCACTGACAATGAGCGTAAGTTTGTTGCAATTACCAAGCTAAATTGGTCCACTTTTTTAGCATTTCTAAATATGAGATTGCAGAAGTTCTACTGTTATCGGTATTTATCGCCAAACATAACGTTGAAATGAGGGAAAAAAAAAGCTTAAAATTTACTTCTTGCATGCGTAATTGGCGATGACGAGGGTTTTACTAGAAGGAATGATAATTCTTTTATATAGTTGTGTAAGCATTGCGGATTTACCATTTGCTCCCACTCTTTGATGAGTAGTAGTGAGATTCCAGTAGAAGCTCCCGGAATCGTAGTTTACTGTTTGGAGTACACTATGTAATGATTAATGATGTGGAAGGTGTGTTTTTGTTTACTGAATTTCGACATGAATGACAAATTTTATTCATCGTATCACTATGAGATTTGCTTAGATGGTACAACTTATACATCATACACTACAAGTGATAGTGATTACTGTAAGTTTTTCATGGTCAGCTGTGTGCAGTGTTTGCTTTTATTTATTACATGATTAACAAGATTTACTAATTCATAATGTTTTCTAACCAAGGAGAAACTGTCAAAAGTTGAAAATCTAATGCGTATGAATTACTTAATACAATTATTTCATGTTGTTATGCTCTTTAACTGTGGAAGTTAACGGCAATTTGTAACTCTTTACAAGTGAAAATGTAGAAGTATGTGTTATTTTATTTATCCCATACTCGAAAGATGACATTTTTGTTTGATTTACAAATATTGAACAGAGAGTCATTTCGATTCGAATATGTAAAGTAATAATTACTCTTTAAGACAGTAATTTCATTCTAATGTTTTAGTTGGTGTAAGTGAGGATCCGATCATGTCATATGTCGCAGTGGAACGTCAACAAAGTAACTGTTACTCTTAGCTTTTTTCTCTAGGTCTATTTCTTTCCACTGATGGGTGAATCCTTGTTGACACAAAATCTTTGCTATTTTGTTTTGGTTACCGATTCCGAAAAGCTATGTGACTGAAGATTTCATTATTGTAAATACATGAGGCTCTACATCTCAAAACATTACACATCATTCTTCATAGATAAATTCGTTGTATTTTAACATGAGTTTCTCTTATCCCAGTAAATTACCCGCGTCCGGTTATTATTCTTGGAGCAATGAAAGACCGCATCAACGATGAATTGGTACTCCGTGATCGAGATCGATTTAGTAGTTGCGTCCCACGTATGTTATAATTTTCCAGTATGAACACCTTTTCTTCAAAAGAATTCATAATATACGAAACAATTTTTGTGTATTAGATGGTTCTTAAAACAAAAAATGAGACATTACAGATACGAGTCGACCTCCGAAACCAAACGAAGTAGATGGTCGTGATTATCATTTTGTTTCAAAGGAACAAATGCAGGAAGACGTTCGAAATAACCAATTTATCGAAGCTGGACAATTTCAAGATAATCTTTATGGCACGAGTATAAATTCCGTCCGTGAAGTTGCAGAAATGGTATGTGTGCTTTGAAAGGATATTCAGGGGACTATATTTTGTGGCATTTTTGGTATTCTTGAAATGATTTTTAAATTTTAGTGAGTGGGAAAGAAATAAGTGAAGATTGAGCTTCAAATGTATATTCTGATTACAATCAAAAATTGGAAATCTCTTGTTTTTTAGTGAGAAAAGTAAGGTCGAATATTTGATTTGGTTATGTCGTATTTCCGTAACTAACAACTAACTTTATAATATTTATTGTAGGGTCGACATTGTATTCTCGATGTAAGTGGAAATGCTATCCGTAGATTACAATCTATCGCTAATATATACCCAATAGCAGTCTTCGTAAAACCGCACTCACCTCATCAAATTATGTAAGTAATTTGTCTAACTTTAACCATATTTCGTGGTCTTATATATTGCAGTGTTATCATGGTAACACTGTAAACTGCATGCCGGATTCGGTTATCCAACGAGCTGATGTCGTCAGTCATTAAAATGTTCCTTTTAACCAATCTGTTAGTTAACCATTTATTGACTTAGTTCTGAAATTTTTAGATTAAATAGCAAACTGTAGTTTATGAAACACTTGAATGTTCTTACAGGGAATGGGATCATTCGATAAATGAAGATGATGCTCATACTGTATATCAGCGCTGTCAGAGAACGGAACAAAACTTTGGAGATTTGTTTACTGGTTAATATTTGAAATTTTTTTTATGTTGTCCAGCTAATCCACCGATAAATTGTGATACCAATTCCCTTCTTTCACATTTCTTTCTCTACTCAAAACCAAAAAAGAAATTTTTTTGATACAACTTTCTTCTGTTGTTTTGACCTCACTCTTATCCTTTCGAATAGCATATTACTCTTATTGCAAAAATGACCTGTTTTAGCTGTTGTAAGTGGTCAAACATTCGAAGATCTCGTGCGCCGTGTCCTGAATGTTATTGCGGAGCAATCACGACCACATGCTTGGGTACCATCACGTTCACAAGTCTTTTAAACCTCATTTTGCTTGATTCTATGATAAACTTTTTTCTTTTCCAAAAGCGCCCTCTTTTGAAGTTCCTGTTTTACAAAAAATTTTTATTCAATCCGATATTGAAGTACTGGTCATTGGTCCATTTAGTTTTATAGCGACTAATTTTTGAAAGGTTTTTTCTCTTTTTCTCTTTGGAAAGATTGAGATGAAGTATATGTATACATACATCTCCGGTATGCAACTTCTTTGCCTACTCGATTATTCCGTTAAAAAAAAAGAAAAAAACTTCATCCGAACTTGGCGGTGTAATCCAATTATTTTAATGGTGATATAATTGAAGGTAAATACAATTTTGGTAACAGTAAAATATGAACTGAGTCTCATTTTTGATTTAAAATTTCGAAAATTGATAAAATACTTTTTGAGTTATATTTGTCTGAAGAAAAAAGAATCATCAAATCTTCTGGTTAGTTTCATCATTTAACCAAATGTATGATTCTGATATTTATGCAGCTCTATCTTTTTTTCATGTGTTGTGATCAGTTAATATAATGCCATTTTTCACCTTATGCAGCTATTATATTAGTCTTTATTTTCTTTCACTATGCCAATTTTTGCGACACTTTTTTGGTATCATTTGATTTATCAAAAATACAAAGAGAAGAGTTTTCAAGAAAAAATTCTTAAAATTTCCAAAGACTTTGGAATAGCAAATAACCAGTTTTTAGAACTATTTAGGTAAGGAAATAGAAATTCGGAATGGTACATTACTTCATCGTTATGGGGATTACAGAACTTCTTATTCTTTTTTTTTAAAATGGTATCTTTCCGGAGAGTAGCCGGAGTTGTACAGAGTTTGGTCTACTATGGGATTCTGTTTCGTGTTGAACAATGATTTCGAACAAAAGAGATTTGAATTGAAGAAATGAAGAATATCATTGTTCTGTCTCGTAGACTGATTTATTTTATTGCTGGTTTGTCCATTCTCTTTCATTGCACTTACTCGTTAAAGGTTGTGATTCTATTAATTTGTTATATTGTTTTTCAAAAGATGTTACGGGGAAATAAGGTTCGTACTCATCGTAATTCTTTTGCGAACATTTCTTTGCTCCGAGAAATAACTCAGCTATTGAATGTTTTTTCTCCAATTACCCTATGAAAATCGAGCATGTGGAAAGAGAGTAGCATTTCTCATCTTCAGGGTGGAAGTTGTGAGATTGGACAGACGCTTTTATAGCAGCGTAAGTATGTAGGCGGGAGGTCAACGAAATTTGGAACTGTCTATTATCGGATTGCTCATGCATTAAGTTATCCGTGTTTTCGTCCAATATTCTTTGAGAGATGAAAAAAAGCAAGAATCATTTGTCGCATGTAACTGTTAGCCTTTTTTGTCATTTGGCTAAAATTATTGTTTGTTTTACTGGCGCAACCTTCCAGTCTATTCAAAATGTGCCAATTTCTTTTTTTTTTTCTCAAAATGCTAAACGTTGCAAAAGCGCCATCGTGCACACTTTTTTGTAGTTTGTTTGAGATCTAAATAAACAGCGCTCTTTTAAAAATTTGAAAAATTTTGCAAAGATACTGTAAAAATGAAATTAAGAAGAGATATGTATTAGTCAAAAGTCTTGTTGGAATTAGTATATCATTTCGTTCTTGAATGATTTGAAGATAATATGAAAAAGCAGTGAAACTTCACTAAAAAGGAAAGTCAATTTCTTATGGCCAATACACGGCACACTATATAAATCTATATAAATATATAAATCTGTATTGAGCCTATTTCCCATTTCATATTAGAATTTAGGATGACCGGGTTATCGCGGTATTGCTAGTATACCCGATGATTGGTAGCTTTACGGGTTACCCACCTGTGCAATGTATATAGGAACTATCCTTCAAGCGCATCACATATATCGTTGACATGTTTGGTTTATATTTTAAACTATTCCTTCCAAAAGCGAATGCATTACTTCCTTCTGCGTGTGTCAAGCAGGTGATGAAGAAATGAGATGTCGTGAAAATCCACTGGACACTGTTGAAGTACTAACAATCCTTTTATTGTATTCTCATAACTTGAAAGAGTGTATGCATGAAAAAGATACGATATTTGAAATTGTAATCACAAATTGTTTGACCTGTACAAGTTGAAATTATATTAACTATTAGGGGATGAATGTAACAAAAATTATTCATAATGGCTGCAAACAAATATCATCGTTGACACTGTCCGACTCCAGTTCGTATGAAAAATCGGATGGTTCGTGATCTATCTGTTGCCATGGACCACGCCAACGGTTTACAAAAATTTGGTTGATAGAAAGTGACGGTGCTTCTACCTGAAAGGTAACAAACACAAAGTGAAGACTATGGAAAGATTACAAACAGTTTAAATGAAAGTTGCAAACTAATTTAGTTGAAGTCATATGTGAGACAGCTTTGTTGATAATTCAAACATAAATGTGCTGAAAAAAATAAGACGAAAAAGGCAAAACTTCTGTGCTATTATCACTTTCTAATTTTATGCCAAATAGGGAACGAGCAGAAATTTAAATGAGCTAAAATAATCATAATTAATTACCGCGGTTTCGGATTGCGAAGATGATGGTGATAATTTTTTTGGCATCGGTTTTGGCCTAGGTAATAGAGCTGGGATTGGCGTGGATGGCGGTAATTGTTTGGATGGCTTAGGGAATTTCGAAGTACTTTCGGCTGATTTTACAGCTGCTTCGATACTGGCTGCAATTTGGGATACCTTCGCCTTTCTTGCTGAATCTGTGAAGATCGTCTTCGATTTAACTTTATGCTGAAATACTAACAATATCTCCAAAGAAGTATTTTTCAATTTCGATTACGATTATTGCCGAAAAAAAAATCATCGGATTGAACAATGATGCAGGGAAAATCTGGAAAAAACTGCTGCACAGTAAGAGTTATTGATGATTGCTAGGCTATAATAGCTGATAAAAGCCTTGCTTAATCTTTCTTATCTTTAGTTCAATTATTTTCATCCACCAATTCTGAATGCTATCACGTGTACTTACCCGTTTTCTTCGTTCGTTTTCCCATTTTCTTTGTTCTGCACTTCTCCCTTGTCGTCTGAGCACACAGTATAAAAGAAGAAATATGGAAATTATAAGAAGGATGACAAGAATAACCAAAACAATTGTCAATGCTAACACAACTTCGGGTCTTCCTGTCGGTGCTACAGTGGAAGTTATTGATGTCGGCATTTTAACCAGACCTTGCAATATCATATCTCCTGCAAATAATCATTTAATTCTTATATAATTCCTGATATTTGTACAGATATGATTCATATGCGACTTGTAGTATTCCTGTGTGTTGCAATTCTATTTCATTACTTGCCGTTAAAGTAGAGAAAAGTATATGAATCCTGGAACTTCAGTGGATTCACCGATTCCACACAAACCGGTGTATACGGAAATGTTGAAGACAGGTGACAAGAGTTTATCCGTTTCGCATAATTGTTAACAACGGATGTTTATTTGAGTACACTTTAAGAAGCGGAAAATGTTTTCACACAAAACAAATGATTTTGAGACAATTTCCAATAAAATCTTTAAAACACTATTTTGCATATTCCATTTGTTAAGTAAAACTTGTGCATGGAAAAATTCTCAATAGTTTCAGAAATTTTTCGGAAATCACACTATCACGTGTAAAGGAGTTATTAGCAACGTATCATCACGTGAAAATGGATCGCTTATGACCTATCAATTATCATGAAAAGATTAAAACCTGCAAATTCTGAAAGTAATGAACAATACCTCCAATGCCATCATCATCTTCATCCAGGTATAAAGAATCTGTTTCGTTTGAGTTATTGAAGGCATGATGCATGCTATCAATTCAGGATATTATGTAGAACGTTACAACGAAACTTTGCACGAACCGTTCACTAATACTTCAGTATCTAACAATAGCTAATTCTGTAATCAGAAAATTATTCGTAATTGCTTAATTAATAAACAATACATGAAATTGTTATGCAGAAAAGATATTTATATGAAAAAATGTGTGGGACAAGCAAAAGTTGAATTATCAAATTAGACTTTTTGGAGAAGTGATATTTTAAAAGATGGAAAAGAAAGTGTTTAGAGATATTATAGGTCTTTTGAAAGTGATAATAACATGGCAAATGTCTTTTTTCTGATATATTTTAATGATTTCAATCGGTAATTTAACACGGTTTGGCTGAGGTCACTATTTAGATCAAAGTGATAAGCTGAGATAAGTCATCTGTCACACAAAGTTCTTAATCACTTATTTTCAGTTACAAATGTCTTTTTCCAAAGAGAAATGCGATAACCATTACATTTTGTGATTTATTACCATACATTTGTACATACTTAAATTTATTTTTCCTACAAATTTAGCTTTTTTTAAATTTTACTTTAATTGAATTTTCACATAATTAGCTTTAATTTGTTGCCAATTATATATTTGTATTATATTTATTCATTGCTTCTGTTGTTTATTTTATTTTTATTATTTAGACATTTGTATTGTTCGTACGATAGTTTACTGCCTCATTTTGCTGTTCTTTAATTACTAATCTTTTATTAATTACCAGCGGTTATCTGGACATAACTTTTTGTAGCCAATAGGAATTCTTGATAGGATTAGATTTTCTTCATCTACAAATTTTAAGTTTCTACTGATCGATTATGATTTATGTTTTCTTACTGTTTTTATTTTGCTGTCAAGTTTAACTGAATTAAATTTGGATGTTTCATAGTTTGCACATATTTGTTATTCGTATTACTTCCTTATTGTTTTAATGTATAATTTTCATTTTTTTTTATTCTTATTATTTAGACATTTGTATTGTTCGTATGACGGTTCACTGTGTCATTTTACTGTCCCCTAATTATTTTATTTTTATTATTTAAACATTTGTTGAAATCAAATTAAATCAATTGCAATAACATTGGTTGTTCATAAAAATTAACGTTTGCGTATTGTGTTGTTGTTTAATTAAATAATTATACAATTAAGAGATATGACACAAATATTTAATTACTTATGTTTGCTCTGGTTAACTTCTTTTTTTGCTATTTGTTGAATATTTTAAGTTTTAAGTTTGTATTATTGTAACTTAACTAAAAGCCATTTCTTTTATCACCCATTTATTAAGTTTGATGATATGGCTACAAACATATTTCAAAATATTCTCGTGATGGCTTAAAATGGAATAGTTTAATTATTAATTTGTGGCATTGTTCAAAATGGATTTCTGTGCTTTCTTTTTACAATATTAATTAATTTATTGTGAATGACTTGATAGGAAGCTATTTACATCTTTTTATTTGGTTCACTTTCTCGTTCTTTATTATTTTCGTGTCAACTTGACTGTTGACTGTCATTCCACCTCGAAAATATCGATTGACTGCCGATATTTTCAGAAGGGTCGTAAAGTTCTTAATTTTATGGTTATTTGTTTTAGTGTTACCTTAGAATTTTTCAAAATTTGCGAGATTTTTTGTTTTGCTGTTCATAAAGTGGCAGCTAACTGAAAGAACTACTAAAATTTTATTTCTTTTCGTTCCCTGGCGTAAATAGTCCTTTTCCGTTTTATTTTATAATTATGTTAATAAGCGGTAAATACTTATATGAAGGAATGGTTTATTTGTTGTCAGTTATTTTCTGCAAAAATCATAATTTCCATCTGTTTCTCCTTTATTACCCATTATATGCCTAATGTGTCCAGCTATTGTCATTGGTTCTTTTCCCTTTTTTTTTATTTTGTGGTTTGTTCAATTAAATCATAAAAAATTAGGA